AGCACAGGCCCTAACCAGGCAGAGAAGTGGTACATACTTGAAGGGCCCTCTGGTACAGTTTCACCTGACTTGACTTTTGGGACTTGAATCTGTTACCTTTCATCCCCTTTCATTCCCCTCCACTTCAACAATTTCAGCATGTGATTTTATTTAATTTTTTAAGAACAGTACAAAGGGGTATACTGAAAGAAAAGATGTATATACAAGACACTCAATCTAGTTAAGGCGTCTTCAAAAAAAAAAATCTACGAATGTGCGTAAGTTTGATTTGAAAGTTTTAAGCAATACTATTAAACTAAGACACAAAATTGTAAGATTGAATTTTGAACTGTAAGCAAATAATCAAATTAGGGTTTAGAAGTAAGGAAAAAACAATCAGCAAATAACTGATTATCCTATTTACATTAATTCTATTAACTGATTTTTTAATTCTGCTCCAAATTGTAAGTCATTATTAGAAATTAATAAATTGAACTGATCTGGATTTCTGTATGAAGATGCTGAATTGAACACCACTCATATTCCAATATCATTTATCATATCTATCAGGATAAAGTAACTAGCACTGGAAATGGAAAATTAAACACAAAGCAAAATTAAACTTTTGGCTCAAGGTAGCCAAGAAAGTATGATTTTATAGTACTGGATTGGCAAAAAAGTCTGTTATTTTTTTTCCATAAAATAAAAGACACATTTTTCATTTTCATCAATAACTTTATTGATTTGGATATTTTGAGTACGTTGGCTATCTCCCATTACTGGCTTCTAGTGGGCAGAGGCCAGAGGTGCTGCTAAACATCTTCCAATGCCTAAGACAGTCCCATAGCAAAGAATTATTTGGTCACAATGTCAATAGTACCAAGAAACTCTGCAAACCACCTTTGACATGTCCAATCTGTCACAGCACCTTCTCCATACACTGCACAAATCTTTTGTGTGTGTGTGTTTCAGTTCCATTTTTACCTTTCTTGAACTATTAAACCATAATATGCCCACAATGTTGCGTATCTTCTTTCATCTTCAATATTAAAATGGCTGCACAAAACTTCATCAATTTTGATAAGTTTTTTTTAAAGCATGCTAATAATAACAACTGTCATAATACAATCTAACAAAATTATTTCGAATGAAGTTAAAGACAACTAAGCACTACTAGAGCCACTGTACAAAAAATAGTAAACAAACTTTTTGGCCAACCCAATAAAATTTGAGAATGTTTAAATGAAGTTCTACTTTATACCTATAATGAAAATTTCCAATTGGAAATTTCTTGCACTTCCATTAAATCAACACAATATGCCTTACCAATGATACACTTTTCAAATATTCAAACGACAAATGTGTAGGGTGGTGTTTTTTTTAAAGAAAAAAAGGTAGCCTATTTAAAAGTGTTTAAGCTTATTTCAAACCTAATGATAAATCTGCTAAATGCAATATGTGAAAAATTTAACCTGTCTATCTCACTGGGTACCTAAGGAAGCAAAGTGAAGAAGTAGAGTTTATTTTAGAGAGCTGCTTGGCACAGTTAGCTCGGCTCCATTCTGCTCTCCTTCCCCACGAGAGAAGTTTGCTTTGGGGCTAATATCAATAACACAAACAGTTCTTTAAGAAAGCCTGTGTGTTCCATTTTCATCAGATAAATCCCTTATGCAATGAGCTACTGACCTATTGTGCAGCTCCACAGAGAATGTTGATCCTATTGCTGAAATCTTAAGAGAAACACTAAAGGTACAGAGAAACTAAAACTCAAATTTTAAAGAGGAAGGAGAAACTTTTCTAATCCTGAATATGGTTTTAAAAAGGGCAGCTAAATTAAACATTGTAAATCACTTTTTAAAGTGACTATAATAATCATGGATATGCACAGAGATATAGCTACAAGGATATTTAATGTAAAGTCGCTTAAAATAATGAAAACTGGAAACAAACAAATCGACTGTTTAACAATAGGAGACTGAGTAAGTTAAAATGCAGACATATAATAGAAGACTATAAATGACATTGTATGAGAATTTTAGAGATATAAAGATGCCCATGTTTGGGTGGGAAAAAAGTAAGTTAGTAAATAGTATGTAGGGAATAGCCCAGTTTTGCAGAGAATAACTTTCTAGCTATACAACTTCAAGACAGTTACTTAATTTCTCTAAATCAGTTTTCTCCTCAATAAAAAGGAGATCATTGGAATACCTACCTCATAGGGCTACAGTGAGGATTATAAGAGATTCTGTGTATAAAACAACTGACACATTGCCTGGCTGATAGTAAGCTTGATACATGCTAGCTCTTTGTTATATGTTCATGGGGTGAAAAAGAACTTGAAGATATAGCGGTAAGTAATTTTCTGGGTGGTGGCTGGTTTAACTTGTACCATACTACTTCTAATATGAGGAAATATTAATAAATAGGAATATTCACACACAGTGATTATTCTTTTAATAATCTACCAAAGTGCTTTCTTCACAATAAATAAATCTTGATTGAGTTGAATTTATCCTTCAGAATTCATTTAAACAAGTTTGCCCTAGAACATTTAAAATTACTTAACTAAAGGGCTAAACTTGTTTATAATATATTGGGTAAAGCAACACATATTTATGTTGTTCAGCCTCATAATAATTTAAGAGCCACAATTCAAGACCTCTTATGCCACTAGAACTTGCCACTAGAACTTGCATTATCAGTGGAGGAAAGTCTAAGGTACCTTAATTAGTTCTAGTTTCTTCCCAACCATTCCCCTTTCTCCTTTTTGACACTTTCATTTCCTTTCTATAATCAAAGCCAGAGGGAACTACATAGGACTGTAAGCCTCAAAGGCAGTAACAGTGTCTCCTTCCTCTTAGCATCCTTAGCATCGAGCATAGTGGCTGGAACGGTAGTTGCTCAATAAATATTCACCAACAGTAGTTCAGAAGAGAGGCTTCAATTTCTCCATAAGAGAACTGGATAAAGGTAGATAGGCTACCTTTAGTCTGAAACTGTCTAGAATTCTAAGTAGTTGTTTCTTTAAAATAATAATAAAAATAATAATAATCTCACTTCTAAGTATCACTTCTTTAAAAAAAAGTTCACCCTGGCTGGTGTGGCTCAGTGGATTGAGCCCCAGCCTACGAATTGAAAGGTCACGTATTCGATCCCCATTCAGGGCGCAGGCCTGGGCCAGGTCCCCAGTTGGGGGCGTGTGAGAGGCAACCGACTGATGTATCTCTCACACATTGATGTTTTTCTTCCCCCCTTTCTCCCTCCCTTCTCCTCTCTATTAAAAAAAAAAGGTAAATAAAATAAAATCTTTTAATTCTCATTTGCATCCCATTGTCTATTTTAATGGATATAAGATTATTTCTTTTTTTGTGTATTTTTTTTAAAGTCCCACAGGAATCCCAAAGAGTTTAAGTAACTTGCTCAGAGTAACTCAGTAAGTTACCACCCAGATAGCCTCAGGTATTCTGGATGCCACCGCTCTCTCAAGATCTTTCTACAATGGCACTGAGGAAAAACACCCATGACCTTTGACCCTAAAAGTTGTTGTAGATATGGCAAAAACAAATGTTTTCAATAACACCCGAACCAATGCTTAGGCTTCTTTGGAATATTTCCTAGAGATCTTATGAGATTCTGGCAGAAGAGAAACTGAGGACAGGAGGCAGCAATGCAAAGGTGTCCAAGTGTTTCCCTCCAGGTTCATATGTCAACCAGCTTTACTTAAAAACGAAACTAAAAAAACCAAATTAAATATTAACTGATTTAAAAAAAAAACAACAACGCTTCAACCAGAAGACTATTGTGAAGTAAAAGTATCGTTAAACCAAGGGAATATTGCACAGGTTTGTTTCCGTTTTTTTTTTTTTTAAAGAACAAAGGAGTTAAGGATAAAGTTAGAGAGTTTTCCACACATCCAGCTTTCCTCCAAATTCTGTTTTCACTTTCAGCCACTCTTTGTTTAAACACTGACTGGCAGCTCCCTCAACAAGAAGTGGGAACCAAACACCTTTCAGGTATACACACTGAAACGTTTACCTTCCTGAACACATCCCTCCTCATTCCGAGAAACTTGCCAAAGGACTTCACATACAAAACTCAGTCCACCAGATTTATAAGTAGGAAAACTTGTGGAAATTAACTGGTTATTACCTGAGTCTGCTGGAACACCCTGTTATTTATATATAAAGTTACAATCTGTTGGGGTCTGCTTCGTGCCAGACATTACAGGTCTTTTGCGCTTTAATTCTAATTACCCTCTTAAGTCCTTATAGTCCCATTTTACTGAATCAGAGTGTTTAATGTAACAGAACCCAACCGTTTAATAAATGGGAGGAGGGGTGAAACCAAAGATTGATTTATTAAGTTAAGTTTAAATTCAAAATTCACACCTGACCTAGAGGCAGTAAATAGATCTCTCCGAAAATTTAAAATACATATCAAAAGAATTTTAAGATCCTATCAGATCAGACAAGATATAGAAGAATGACAAAGATTGATAAATAAAAGATTGCAGGACACGGCACCGGAGTTTCAAGACATAGCCGCGGGCTATTAACAATCACCCATATCTCAAAAAGACAAACAGGTCCCTTCCCACCTATTTGCGCTGAGAAACCAAGTCTTTCCTTAAGGGGACCGCGAAATGTTGAAAGGTTTCAGTGTGGGCTGCCCAGAGCCTCTCAAAAAGAAAAAGAGAATCAGTCCCTCCTTCACCACCTGAACTTCAGCCTTGACCTCCCGAGTGGTTCTGGACAACCTACGGTTTAAAGTGTCCTTTCGGCGCCAGGACCGAGTTACCCGAAATCGTTGCAAATGAATGAGCTGAACGCTCAAAGCAGAGACTTAAGCCACACGTCCATCCTCTATCTGGCAGAATCGAAGCCGAATGTCCTGGGGTGGAGCTCGCGGGGCCGAATTAGAGCCGCGTCCCTGCTACCAATCCACCTTCCCTTTCCCTGAGCTTCGCAGTACGCGCTGCTTCCCAGCCCATCCTCCTCCCACCCCCTCCGGGTGCTCCTTACCTGCTTCCAGCCGAAGGCACTAGCTCCCCGCGGAGGATTTGCTAGCGGACGGAGCCCGCTGCCGCAGCCACCCCCGCAGCCGAGGCCGCTAGAAAGTTTGCTCGGGGTCTCGCCCTCCCGCGGCCCCCGCCCCCGAGGCCAGTGTCGGCGGCGCTGCAGCACCAGCAGGGCTCTGGTGGCTCAGTGCGCGCCGAGGGCGGGGTCTCCCCGCCCCTCTCCGCCAGCGGATCGGCGCTCGGTGTTTACCGCGGCCCCGCGGCCGGCTCTCCCCGCCCGCCGCTTTGCGCGCTCCTGACATCATTCATTCTCTCACACCCTCGCCCGCCCACTCCATGTCCAAACAGTGACTCACCGCGGGCCGCTAGTGGCAGCGCCAGCTCCTGGTGCTGTGGCTCTCCGGGCGCAGAGCGGAGCTCGAAAAACCGGTGCGACTTCTCAAGAAGAAAACCCGGGTCGACACTCCCCTTTCCCAGCCATTAAAGGTGCAGGGAAGAAGGTACTTGGCAGGAAAGGCCGATAAGCTCTGCGCGCGGAGTCTGAGCTCCCGGAGCGGACCTCCGTGACCAGTGACGGAGACCAATCTGGGAAAGTTGTTTGTTTAGGTGTCACTCCCAGTAACTTTCAGGGGTGGGGCCGGGAAGCGATCCCCGACCCCCGCAACTCGCCTAATTCAGGAACTGCTTCCTGACATTGACGTGAGTGGGTTTCGGGACACCGGCGGTTATTCAAAGGGTGTTGCCGGGGCCTAAGTCTGAGAGGTGTGTGCCCAGCCCTCACAGCGTGGCCTGGCAGGGTTAGTCATCAGTCCATACAGTGGCAACTCGAGGTGCGAGCTGGAAGGGTGCTCTAAGTTAATGAGGCTAATAATACTTTCCCTTCGGTGACTAACGACCGTGTCACTTGTCCTGTTAATTGACTCACTTCTTTTTAAGGATAAGAAACCGTAACTAAAATAAACAAAGAATCTTTCTTTGCTCAGCTGAACACTGCGCTTTGCCACAGCTTTTGGGGCACAAGGCAGTCATGTGTGGTTTCTTCGATGAGCTCAGCAATTATGTTTTTAGAAGGGGTGTTGGCTTCTTAAAAATGGTCAAGGCTCTACACTTTTTGGTGTTGCTATTCATACACACCTGCTGGGCAGTTTTCAAAGTAAAGGATGGCAGACTGGGAAATTCTAAATAGGATGAATTAGAGGGAATGTTGCTAGTTAACGGAAATGATTTCTGTTAATTTCTACCTGCGGACAGGGTAATTATGTTTCAGATTTACATTGTCTTATGGGTGATTCCCTACAACCAACAAAAATAATCCAGTGGCATCTCTGGGTGCCTAGTGCTGAAATAAAGTGGGTAAACAATCATTTGTCTATGGTAATTAAACACAGTGCTAGCGGGGGCGGGGGAGGGGGGCGGACATGCAGGGCAGTCAGAAACAGACAAGTATGAGATGTTACTAGAGAAGCCTCCCCTAAATAAATATGCTCCTGAATTAACCAAAGGTTCCACAACATTGTTGTGGGAAATACACTCAGTAGAAAACACCAACAACTAAAATTTATCTTCCCTGGGTCTATTTTTTTCTTTTCAATTGGAGTTCATTTTTAATTTTACAAAGCTCGGGCATTTTGCCCAGAAGGCAATAGCAAATGGATTAGTTTGCTAGGATGCAGTCAAAGTAAGTGGAAATTCAAACCAACATTAAAAAAAATTTTTTTTTAATCCTCACCTGAGAATATGTTTATTGATTTAAGAGAAAAATATCACTCCTTTGCCTCCCCTATGTGCTCAACCAGGGATAGAACCCACAATCTAGGCATGCACCCTGACCAGGAGTTGAACCCTGCAAACTTTTGGTGTACTCATTGTCAAACATCTGAGCCACTGGGTCAGCGCCAAACCAACGTATATGTATTTTTAAGATTTTATTTATTTATTTTAGACAGAGGGGAAGGTGAGGAGAAAGAGAGGGAGAGAAATATCAATGTGTGGTTGTGTCTCACACTCCCCCTACCGGGGACCTGACCTGGTCCTTAACCCAGGCATGTGCCCCAATTGGAAATCGAACCAGCGACCCTTTGGTTTGCAGGACAACGCTCAATCCACTGAGCCACACCGGCCAGGGCCCAACATATTTTACAGACAATCACAGACCTAATCAGAACCTTAGGTGTGCTGTCCACGGCTAACATAGACTAGATTCAAATGGGCAGCCACAGGAAGGTTTGGGTGAATATCCCACATACATACTTCCTACTTTATGGCCCAAATATTTGGACATTATGGAAATATGTCCAAATCAAGAAAACAAGATTTTCTATAGAGTTTAAAAATGATGTTGTGAGCTTTTGGGCCTAAATACATGGATGAAGTAAAAAAGACCAAAACAAAACCTGCCATCCTGTCTGCATTATCACATGATGTAAATCCTGCAGCTCTGTCATGGCGAGGTCTCCCATGGGAAGCTCTGAATTTGTGGTTACTACTGGGCCTCAGTTTAAATATTATGAAATAAGTAATTAAGTTATTTTATTATACCACTTAAATATCCTCCAATAAAGATAATAGTATAATTGTGATTGAGTTGAATGAAGTTTTTTTTATTCTACTCATTGTCAACATATGAGAAAGCAAATTATTCATCTTAATTTCTGTTATGAAAAATAGTGACTTGTCCAATTCATTTTTAATGGCACCTCTTTGTTCTTACAATGTATCAAAGTTTACTAAGTCCTTGATTAGTCACCTTCCAAAAATAATAATGCTAAACGCTCTATAAGAAAGGGCTAACGGGTATGTTCTTGTCAATTTTTTTGCTAAACAATTGCATACTGTAAGTCAAGTTTTACAGATATTCATTTGGTTTGATAAAACAAACTGACTAAGTTAGGAAAACATGTATCTGTTGTCTCTATCTCTTTTTATAACAACTCCTATTCTGTCTGTACCTGAGTCATTCACTCAACCAACAACTGTTTATTGAGTTTCTATTTTGTTCCCACATTGTTTATCTAAGAATCACTATATTCTAAACATATGTCTCAGCAATGGGAAAGTTTTCTTTCTAAAAAGTTTGCATAAGGATTTTATTCCACCATTATTTATAATTTTCCCAGGATCCAGCATAGTGCCTGCCATGTAATTACTAAGTGAATGAAATAAACGAATGAACAAACCAATGGTGAAATACTTCCATGTTATGGGATTCTATGCAGGCAATTAGAAAAAAAGAATAAAATAGTCCATAGGCTCTGACTTAGAAAACAGTCCTTATTAACTGAAAAATATAAGCAGCAAAAAGATACACGCAACACACACATACCATTTTTGTGAAACAGACACCCTGCCCTCTGGAAAACCCATAACCAAACTACATATTAACTCTTGGCTTGAAATATAGAAGAGCAGAGTGTGAGGGGAAAACCTGTATTTCTTGACTATTTTTCAATGAGCCTGCCTTGCTTTTGTAATTAAAAACAACAACCCAAGCTATATTGGAACTTGAAAGGCGGTGATATTGGGTTGGCCAAAAAGTTTGTTTGGTTTTTCTGTAAGATGGCTCTAGTTACACTTAGTTGTCTTTAACTTTATTTGAAACAATTTTGTTAGATTGTATTGTGACAGCTGTCATATCAGTGTGCATTTTTTAACAAACTTATCAGAATTGGTGAATTTTTGTGTAGCCATTTTAATATTGAGGACGGAAGAAAGTACACAACATTTTCAGCATTTTATGCTTTATTATTTCAAGAAAGGTGAAAACACAACTGAAATGCAAAGAATGATTTATGCAGTGTATAGAGAAGGTGCTATGACTGATCGAATGTGTCTAAAGTGGTTTGCGAAGTTTCATGCTGGAGATTTCTCACTGAACGATGCTCCACGGGAGGATAGACCAATTGAAGTTGATAGTGATTGAATCAGGACATTAATCGAGAACAATCAACGTTATGTCACGTGCGAGATAGTCAACTTACTCAAAATATCCAAATCGATAAAATTATTGGTGAAAATGAAAAATGTCTTTTATTTTACAGAAAAAACTAAACAGACTTTTTGGCCAACCCAATACAATGTGTCCGTGACGTAGGGCGGCTTCCTGTCTAGTTGGAGAGACAACGACACCCAGGACAACTAGAGGTTAAGGCTGCTCACTCTGTAGATTTGGGGTTTCAGGTATTCACCCTGTGCCAGGCCCATCTGAAGAGGTAATACATACCATTTATTGAGAACTTATTGTATGCCAGGGACTATGCAAATAGATTTCCCCTATATTATATCATTTAATCCTTCCAGCAACATTTCTGAGGTAGATACTCATAATGCCCTTCATAAGAGATAACCAAAGATAAGAGATTGCCATTTTACTGGTATCACACTCAGATTAAGTGACATTCTGGCATAAAATCAGGACTTCTGGCCCCAAAGTTTATGCTTTTGACTGCCATTCCTTAAAGTGCATCACCTACACTGATGTTACAATAATCTATCTTTTTTGGTTTTAAAAACTTGTTTATTTTAAACTTTATAAAAAAAATAAGGTAATATTGCCATCATAGAGAAAGGGAAAAATAAAGAAAAAATAAAACCACTGTTTTCATTTTGTTGTCTGATCTGCGTTCTTTAGATTTCTATTGTTTAAGATAATTTCAACATCCTACATATGATTTTCATTATGATTTTTTAAAACTTAGCACTGTATAATGTACTCTTTTCTCACAATTATTATATTAGTGGTTCCTGCTTGTGCATCTGTGTGTGTATTGAACATAATCTGAAGTCTGGTAGTCCAATTATATTTTGGGAACAGTTTAATATAATACTTTTACATTTTTTTATTAATGGAAAATTTTGGACTATCTTTTTTTGTAGTTAGTACTACTACACTATATGTACAGATGCTCTACTTAAATGAAAGTGTTTGGAGTACTCAGAAAAGTAAATGAAAGGTACTATGTGCCACATTTTATTGATATTATTGTCTATACTTCTGGACTGGAGCAAGATGGGTGGGGGCGGGGGTGTAGGGAGAGCCAAAAGGAGCTTTGTAGGAGTCCAGGTGCAACATGGCAGTGGTCTAGGTTAGGAGACTCGTGAGGGGAATGTAGGAGACAGAGTGGATTTCAAGTATATTGGACAGAATTTGCAGATCGATTAAATATGGGAATGGAGACAAAATAACTCCTGCTTTTTTTGTTTGCTTACTT